TGGATGGTGGGTTCAAACCACCAATCTTTTGGTTAGCAGCCTAATGCTTTAACCACAGCACCACAGAGCTCCTGGAGGAACACATATGGCTGAGAAAACTATGCAGAAAAGCCAAGAAGTGATTCTCCCAAATCAGGCTCGTGTTAGCTCACATGGGTGAGAGGGCACTCTGAGACTGGGGCGCTGGCAAGGTCCTGAGCTGTGGTGGTTTCCATCAGTGTTGGGATTTGTGAGACCTGCATTTAACAGCCTCTTCTGGGTTTACTGGAAGGATGGTTGGGCTGCTTCCGTAGTGATAGCGCCTCAGAAACCCAAGGAGAGGTCGCTATGAGTTGGATTCGACTCGACAGCAGTGAGTTTGGTTTTTGGTTTTGATCTGGATTTATGGTGCGTAACATTTATGTTAACCCAGACTGGGCTGTTATCTGTGCACTCGTACTTAGCTCCTGAGTAAACCCTCTGTTCAAATTCACTGGGGCTGAATTTTATTATTAAACAATAGACAATGTTCAATTGAGTAAAAGAAAACTCTGTTGTTACAAAGAGAAAACTTAAAGGAGTAAACATAAAACATTAAAAAATGGACAAAGATGGCGAGGGCAAAATGCAGGTAAAATGATGTTAGCATAAGAAAGAGCTAGGATTGAAGGGGAGGGAACGTGGCAAAAAAATAAATAAAAACAGAACAAGAACAAAAAGAGAAAGAGTTAGGATTGCATTTAATCTTGACAATAGTAAACGGGGCAGAGATAGCTATGTAAAGCTACAAAGCACAATTTATAAAGAAGGTGAATGAAAAACGAAACAATGAAGTGACCAGCGAAGGCAGCAATTCGTACGGATATAAAGGAATTGACATAACATCAAACCTATCTCACACACATACAAACCTTGAGTCCTAAGATAAAAGATGAACAATGTCATTTTATATTGATGAAATCACTTGAAAAATCAAAGTTGCACCTGACTGCAAGGCAGTCTAAGGCTTTGTAACTTTTCTCAGAATGTGCTATAGCAAATGTGTGCTAGCATTGCTCACTGACGACAGATACTGCAGCATAAAGGTACTTACTACCAACCTCATGGCTGTTGTCTCCTGCAAGCAGCGTTCAAGCCAGACATTCTTAACCAAATTAGTACTTGGCTGCCTTTGCAACTTAGCTTGATGGTCAAAACTGAACAAAAAAGAAAACTCAGAGGAATAACTACTACTAATCGCATTAATTGTGGTGTTGGTGAAGACTACTGAAAATACCGTGGACTTGCAGGAGGAGGAACAGATCTGTTCTAGAAGAAGTGCACCCGAAATGCTCCTTGGAAGCGAGAATGGCCAGACTTCGTCTCACCTACTTTGGTCATGTTGTCAGAAGGGACCATTCCCTGGAGAAGGATGTCATGCTTGGTAAGGGGGAGGGTCAGTGAAAAAAGGGAAGACCTTCAATGAGATGGATTGACACAGTGGCTGCAACAATGGGCTCAGGTATAGCAGGGGGTGTGAGGCTGGCAGACGACCAGGCAGTGTTTCGTTCTGCCGTACACGGGGTTGCTGTGAGTCGGAGCCGACTTGATGGCACCAAACAACTACCACATTTTATCGAGAACAGAAGCAAATGGTATCTCAAGGTTCTCATATCTGAAAAGAAATATGCCAAATTAAAAAAAAAAAAAAGGCAAAACATTTAATAACTGTTGTTTACAACTTCAGTACAAATGTGCAATTCAAATAAACATTACAGGATTTTTATTAATTGCTGGTCACCCAATAAATAGTTTCCATTCTCCTTCCCAATGAAACGACTTCATCAGAAAGCAAATGCTCTAATACACCCCTTTGCTTACACTCATACACATGTTGGACACAGCTTTATCAAGTGTCTGGAACTTCCACAAGTTTTAAACTCTTATAGGATCTCCCTGGGCACATATCCAGATTTTAATGATTTACCAGAACAAATTAAAAAAGAAAAAAAAAAAAAGTGGGAGGCCTGAGAAGATTATGTTGTGATCAGCTGTCACTGAGTCAATTCTTACTCATGGCAATCCCACGTCCCCATGAGTCGGACTGGGTTCCACAGGGCTATATATGTAAGTAACATTTCCAAACTTACTCAATCATGGATCCCTAATATTTATAATGGCTGATTTTATGGATGTAAACCACCAGGCTGTTCAGAGACACCTCTCTCTGGGTGGACTTGAACCACCAACGTTTTGCATAAGAGCCAAGTGTGTTAACCGTTTGCACCACCAGGAGTTCCAAATTATAAAGTACAGTACCTATAACACACCACAGTGAACTGTAACACCTCTCCAGACAGTGGTGAGGAAATAAACTAGAGGATCACACCAAAAAGGCACCAAAGAAAGACTCACTGAAGACCAAAAGTCCAAATCCACAGGAAGACATCCCCAAGATGGCCAGTGCTCACTGTTTATATTATCCAGCCTGACTCTGTGGCTAGTCTAGGAAACCCCCACCTCTTAAACACTGATTTGGGAAATAAATAAGGCCATTCCAAGTCTACTTTTGAAAAAGTGAGACAGAACAAGTGGTGCAAGAACTTCCCATACTTTCAACTCACCGTCCCAGATTTCATCTATACCGCTGACTGCATTTGAACACCCAGGATTGGGTAACACTTGCTCAATTCCTAATGTCCAACCACCTGCCATTTGCCTTGTGAGCCACCACCCCAAGTCAACGCAGCTCAGCTGTTGGAGTCCCAAGAACTGCTTGTGTGATGGGCACCCACCGTCATGGACATTCTGTTCTCCGTACCATTTATTTGTTCTCTGGAACCAAGAAGAAATCTAGGAACGAGGCCCTTTCCCAGCACCGAAAGCAACTTTGGTGGGGCTGACCTTCCCTGTGTTTTTGTGAAGGTTGCTTCCAACTTCACCTCCTGCTGTGGGAGGGAGGTTACAGGTCAAGAGCGTTGGAATGGAGAAATCTTCAATTCCATCTGCAGCTGACCCGTCAGAAGCTGTGTGAATCTTGGCAAATCATTTAACTTGCCCAAGCTTACTCCCCATCTTGCTGTCCTTCTCCCTGCATTCTTTGAAGGATTATGTTGTTTATTTCTTGTCTTTGTCACAGAGATAAAAAATGGCATAAAGTGCCTAAGTGCTACTGAGGCTGTCCTAACCAGCTAAGGCCAGGAACATCATCGTTGACGACTAGTCAGCTATGCTTAATACCCGTTTGCCTCTGTGGGTCATCGGTATCTTTTTCCTGTGATCAGTTTTCAGGCGAGATGAGATCAATGTCGTGTTGCTTTTGTTTCAAATGCCCTAAGTTGCCTGCAATGTGTCCTGACAGTCAGGACAGTGGCACTGAGGAATGATACTGAAATCCTGAAGGTTGGACTGGAGAAAGGAAGGTGGTATGTCCCTGATGTCCAAGACAAGATCAGTACTGACCTCCTAACTGTGAGCACTTAGTACCAGAATCCCCAGAGTCCAAGGGCTAACTAAGTAAGCATCAGCGCTGCCTGATTCTATGACATGAAAGACTCCTACGTACGGCGTGCAGTGTGTTAAGATTCTCCAGTTCATCGTCTAGGTTAGCCAGTGAATTTCTTATCAGCAAAACCCTGATGTCTGCTGCCAATGGAGTCAAGGCTTTGTAACAATGTGGTAATGTCGTTTCAATTACTGAGGAGGCAAGTGACATGGGGAATGAATAGGTAAAACCCACAGGAAAGTAACAGACAAGCAGCATATTAACAAGCAAACCAGAAATGCTGCTGGGGGAGCTGCCTGTACCCAGGGACTCACACTGCTTCCTTCCTGAAGCCACAGCGAGGCAGGCCAGGCTACAGCTGGGACTCTTCAGTGCACAGCAGTGACAGTCGATAGTATGTGCCAGGCGGAATTCTCACACTTTGTGCTCCTGCCAGGTATGGAGGACGAGGGGGAAAAAGAAGCTGTGAAATTTCCCATAATGAGACAAAGATGGTGTTCAGAAATTGGGTGAAGCAGCACACCAGAGCTCAGCACGGTAGCCATGTTACCAGCGGCCGTAATGGCTGATCCTTTGACCCCGTGGGTCAGAGTAGAACTTTGCTCTGTAAGGTTTTCAATGGCTGATGTTTCAAAAGAGATGGCCAGGCTTCCTTCCAAAGCACCTCTGGGTGGACAAACCTCCAACACTCTGGGCAGGAGCTGAGCGCCTTCACCGTTTACACAATGAAACAGTGTATTGGGTAGGCAAGAAGACACAGTACAGGAGCCTTTCATGAGTCTAAGCCAATGACCCAGGCTTCCAAGCCAACACAATGGATGATGCCTTTTCATCCCACACAGTCAAGGCTAACTAGAAACTCAACACAAGAGCCTACTGGAATGTACAGTCATCTGGTTGACCTACTTCCTGCTTCCAATTTTGATTTTGTTTTTTAGCCTGCTTTAAGTGGCCCAGGTACAGCTATAATGGCCCCAACGACCTTTTAGTCTAATTAATCCTTACTTTATACATCAACCTTCAGGTGGCTCATCCAAAAGTTATTTCAAATTTGTAAAGTACAAACAAAATTAAAACACACACACACACACACCCCACCACATATACACGTAAATTGAACAACCATGTAAAATTCAATGGGAGACCTTCCTGGGCATGGTCAGCTAGATTTCCTTTCCTAAAATCCATACGAGCCTGATGGGGGATTCCCCA